CCCCAAAACCCCAAAACCCCATTTTGAAACTATTGCTGAGATTAGAGTGTAATTAGAATTATGAAATCAAAATTATACTGATATTAATCTCTCATAAATTCAGAGGTAAATGATCAAGTCTTTTTCCTTCCTTTGAATATGATTAAGTCTCAACGTATGAGTGTCCCTACCTTTCCATGTCTTAAATGCTTCTCTTTCTATCTCTATAAGTTAAGATTTGTCTCAACTCTCTGTGACTCTTAGAATCAGCATGACTTTTAATCAGTTCTTTTTTCAACATCATGGTTTGTTCCTGTCTTTCGTTATCTAATTCATCAAGTTGATAAATTTAGTAGTCTGTAATTGAAGGATCAAGCTAATAATCAGATTAGGTTTAAGCAAATACATTTTTGTTCCTTGTGCTGATTCTTTACTATACTCTTGGCAATTATTCATGAGAATAGGATTGCTTCATAGTCTATTCCCTGTTTTTTAATTTGGTGATTTTTAGAGGTTCAAGGACAGGCTACTTTCTAGATCTTCTTTTTCTCAATCGAGCATCTTTGCCAAAAATTAGATCACCAATAGGATGACTAGGAATGTAATTCAAATTCTAAAGTTAGATCTGTATCATTCTGAGATAGTAGAATTTCTATTCAACTGTTAGATGCTGAGAGGCTATCAATTTTTTAATATACTTCTACTAACCAGGTGTAAGTTTAGTCATCAGTATTGGCTCAGCTTTTTATGTAGATTAATCTTGTTATTATATCGATTCATCTTGATCAGCGTATTTTAATGGTATCTAGTGGGAATACATCAAATTAAATCTATCAAGAAGTTCGTCTGCCTCTGCCATTTAGAATTTAGATTGAGTTTTCCTTGGAGAAAAAGTTACATGGCCGCTACCTGGATGTTTCAACATCAGATTATCTTGGTCTTTTGCCTTATGATTCACTCTCGCTAAGAATTCATGCTAAACAGGCTCCAAAGGCTTATATTTTAGTTAGGATTACGCTCTGCTTAGCAACTCACTAGTTCCAAATTGTCTCGTGAATTCCTTTTCAAATTCCTCCTAGTTTTCATCCTCGTTATTGTATTAGTTGATAATGCTCATTTAATCTTAGATATATTTTCTTTCCAGTTAAGATTGATCAGAAATCATACTATTTCTCAAATTATTTTGATCTGTTATTGAGATTTATTGCTAATCATTTCCATCATACAGTTATGATTGAATTATTTACTTATTATTGAAATCTTTGATTTAATTCTGAGCTAATTGCGTTTCATTTTACTATCTAAAGCTCTCCTATGACTGTAAGCTTTAAAGCATGTCTAGATTTGCCAAGCTTTTACTCATGAGCATACTCTTATTTGTTTATGACCTCAGCGGCATATTTTGTTAATTCTTAAGACCCTTTAGACCTAATGAGTTTGTTAATCCTCCATTGGAAGCACTAGCTATCTATGAAATAATCGCTTACTATTGATGAATTTTAGGGATTTGATGAAGTTTCTGCATGATTAGTTAATTTGAAGTAGGATTATGGATATATTAACTCTGGTCAAATAGTAATGAGGAACTATTATTTGTTGGATTTAGGAGATTTAAATGCTTCATAACATTACTGCTAAGATTTAAGCCTCCAATAAAGCTGTCATTCATAGGTTTACCAGCAATATTTATAAAATCTTAGTTCTGCTTTATATCATTGATTTATAATTTTGATTATTATCTATTTAAGATTTTTTCTCTAGATTAAACTCTCTCATTTTAATCATCTCTTTACGATTGAAGTTATTAAATCTGCATAGGCAAATTTTTTTCTTTACTTAAAGGCCTAGCCCCTGCACCCTATGTTCCTGGTCTAGACTGTGATTATGGATTTTAGGTTGGTTAAATTATTTGCTCAATTTGTTATGGAAGTGTTATTGGCTGATTCTATCCAGTTTATTGAGAGTTAACAAGGAAATTTTTAAGAATTTTGTTTGAAAAATGCTAACTCATTACATTTAAAACAGCATTTTATTGAGTTCCATGATTTTTGCTCTGAATAGGTTCTGTTAACGACTTGTTTAACACAAATCTTAAGAATTATCGCATTTAATCTATTTTTTACTCTGATATCATCTTATTAGCAGCTGAGTGATTTTACATCTCTGTTTTGAACTCAAGGAAATTATCAGAGATCTTGTTAATATAGGAAAGGGAGTTATTAAGTCTCATTCCATAATCATCTACATAGTATTCTGTTTATGTCCCACTAGATTTTAACTCTGCCACTTGTACCTATATATTTTTGTGCTTCATATTAGCCCATCTAGCCATAATCTCTTAAACTCTTTGCTAGTGTTCAGCTTCCATATCTTGCTTTGAATTTTTAGTTTTAGCGGTGCCGATCCTAGTGTTAAATTCTGTTTTTCCTTCTGAAACCTCTTTAATTTCAGTCAAATCTGGCAAAGTTATGTTCATCTCTTTCATCTATTGCAATAATTCGTCACTTAGGCCTTAATTTTCTTAGTCAGAATTTTAATTCTAATGAGAGAAATTTTATTTGGAACCAGACTTTTGAAAACTTGACTTACGTTATTATTAAGTATTTTGTGTCAGTAATAGTTAATCCATCTTTTAAGATAATGTGGGAGTAAAATTTATCGATTGCTAGTCGCTGATTACACCTATTTATTGCTACTGCTCATTACTTTATAGATTCAATTATCCATATTCTCCTTAAACGAATTTTGTGAAATTCAATGGTTTTTATAGAATGGAGTTTAGTTTTTCCTTTTCTACACTAATCTTTTTTGCGAATTCATCATTTTATAGTCTATATTTTTCAAGAATAGATATTTTATTATCTTCTTTAGAGGAGGAAGCGTCTCTTAAATTTTAGAGATTTAAACTTTACTACATCAAAAGTTTAGAATAAATTAGATCATTACCATTTAGATATTATTCTAGGTAGAAATATAGTCTTTTTAATTGATGTCCTTGATAGAATCATTTTAGTTACTAACCAACTCCTGAGTAATTGGTGAAAGTCCTTGAGGAAGTTATATGGAATCTAATAAATTATCATTCTATTAAAACTTGAAAGCTTACTATTTATTATTCTCTGTTATTTAGCATTTTCTTGACCTTGTCTTATCAATGCCATACTAGAGCTTCGTTTTAAGTCTTCTTCCTCTAATGTCTGATTAATCTTGAATATGTGATTCTTAAGGATCTATTGGCCAATGGAATATCTCTATCTTAGGTTAGCAGTTTCAAAATCATATATATTGCTCTGAGTATAGTTGATTTTAGCATTAATAACTTAATCTACACTGTCAGTAGATTCATCAGAATCAGAATTATCATCACTCACAAGGATATCCTTCTTTTAATTATTGCTGCTTGAATTTAGATTAGACTTCCCTTAGTAACTAGTCTTTTTATTAGACTAGATAGTATTCTTTATAATACCCTTGGCTCTGCCTAATTATTATGTCTATGATATCTCATTCATAACCCTTCTACTTTCAAGTAACGCATATAGATAATCTTCAGTGCATTTCTTTTAGATCTCAAGTATCTCCTAAATTGTTTGATTTACTTCTATTTCTGCTATAATTGCCTCATTCGAGCCTCTAATATCCTTTGCATATTTTACACAAATGTTAACGATACTTAAGACTATATCTTCATATTCGCTCTTGATTTATGACATGAAATTTTTCTTCACATTGTTTAGAATTTTCAAATCATTGAGCTATCTGTCGCATCTCTTAAAGTTTTGTTCAGATATTAATAAAAGTCTCGTAAGTTCCCCTACCTACTTTTCCTTTTAAGAGAAAAGCTGGCCATTAACAGCAAGTTGCTTATGAAAGGATATATTGAGCTGTTGAACTCTTTAGTACTCTTCTTTTGTAATATAATCTTCCTCTGTTTGTATCTTAACACTCTTAGGAATAGGCTTATTCAATCTTCTTGCCATTTTGTCTACAAGTTTCATTTTTACCTCCATTATCTTGACGTTTCTCTCACCAGTCCAGTCCTTATTTATGATCCTCTTTTGCTTTTCTATATCCTAATTCATATCTTGATCATCTTTCTCAATTACTTGAGTCATTCTTTACTCTAAATACTGTTAATCCTGAAAAACTTTGATCTCATTAATGATTGATTTGAGATTCGATTCCGCATCAGATGGCTTAAATCTATCTAAGGAAATTCCATCATTGACCTATTTCTTTTTAAGTATATGCTAGTTTCTTAAGTTAATCATCTCTTCAATTTATGTTATTGCATGGAGTTATTCTTCATTTTCGATGATCTTTTAAAAGTATTTCTCTCTTTCATTTTATGACATGGATCTAGTGTTGTTTACTGCTTCTTCAAAAGTCTCTTGATTAGAAGTAAAATACCCTGATTAAGTTTGGTTTAGATGCTTCTCTATCAACTCTTAAACCTATGGTGCTAGTGACTTCAAATTTTAAATATCGTTTCTTAAGAAATTATAAGAGTTTTTTACATCTGAAAGCTCCCTCTAAAGTATAAAATTAAAATAGTAACTATATTTACCTTTTATTCTTCGATTACTTAATTAAGGCATTAAACCTCTTTGACATGATGTCTCAAAAAAGCTGAGAAAGTAAGTTCAACCCCATTAGATATTCTATTAGCAATTTTCTTATACTCCTAGTTTGTTTGAGACAGATTATATATGAACTGTGTAAAGCAATTTTGATAGAATTCTTATAACTCTTTAATTATATTCATTCCGAAGCCCTTATCCTCATATTTTTTCCTGAGCTCAGATTCAACTGAATCCATATATAATTCGAGTTATCTATAAAATAAATCTTTACCCTTATACATGATATACTTACGTCCTCTCTTTCGTTTGCTTCTTAGATTCAGATTTTTTGGCTTAGCTTGCTAAAGATTACCTTCTATCACCAAAACTTACGCTGTGTTCCTCAAAAGAATCTGTCAATGAACTGTCATCATTATCACTCTCCTATAACAGTAACTTCCTTAATGACTCAATTGGCTCGTAGAGGATGGATTTAGGATCAACCTCGCAAAGTAGAAATTTTGAGTTTTTTTCTTCTTCTTGTTTCCCCAGATTCACAATTTGCATAAAATCTTTGCTAAGATCATTCATTGTTATCTCGCTATCTTCCATTCTTTTGAGTTTAAGCGGGGATGAGTCTCTAGATTTGAAAATATTGTTCTGTCTTTTGTATTCTGAGTTGTAGTTTTATTTTTATAGAATTTTCGAATGCTGTTGTATCATATCTTAGAATTCCTTATTTGGCAAGGGTTTGAGCAATCTTTTAGATGAGTCCTCAAACATCTTTATGGACTTCATCATTTCTTAACTTTGTCCTCTTGTATGTAAACTTAAATCCTTCTATATCCCTGTTTTAACTGTATACATAATTAGATTTTAGTACGTTTTTTGTATTAACTTTATAATTTAATTAAGATTTACTCTTGGATAAGTGATTATTTTTCCTATCGGGGTTTTGGGGTTTTGGGGTTTTGGGG